GTTTGAGTTTATCAATTTAAATTTAATCTAAATACGTTTTTCACGCCCAGTCGAGACCACGCCCAGCGCTGACAACGCCCCGTCCGCCAAAAATTTTTGACTGAGGTACGAAAAATCCTAGATCCGCCCCTGTATTAGCCTAAAATTCATGCAGCAGCTACTAGAATTCGCGCAGCGCTGGGTGCGCAAAATTGCAAAAAGCCGTTTGACTTTGTGGTAGCTATAGTAAATATAAAATTTATGCTACAAAGATCAAGGTAATAAATGGGAAATGAACTAGCTATTTTAAAACTGTATTGTATGATGATTCTTTTGAGATAACAATGAGAAGATGAAGCGAACGAAGAAGAAAAATTCCAGTCGGCGGCCAAAAAGGCCGTTTGCCGTGAAGTTTAAATTGCCCTGTTAGTACATTTAAAATGCACGTAGTAGCCTATAATATGTGCGTGGAACGCATATTACCTCGCCCTCGACGTTTTACCCTCGCCCTCGACGTTTTACCCTCGCCCTCGACATTTAACCCTCGACACTCGACCAATAGATAAACTCCACACGACATATAGGGACACTCAAGGTTGCACTAATTGCATCGTATAGGGTTGAAAAGTTGCCAATGATAAAGTGGTGATTTCTGCCTTCTGCTTTTTGTTGTCAAATTATTGATTTTCTTTGGATAAATCTACCGTATCTACCGCTGAAACTGTTCTATACGAACTCTCTTGCTCCCCATTCCCTTGTCTATTACACCATAGCCAATCTCGTTCCCCGAGCCTGCGATCCTCGGGAAGGAAACGAAGGCTCTGGGATAATCTGTTGCCGAAAACCAGGAATTCTGGCTAAGATTGAACTGCACATTCCATATCAACGGCCAATCAGATTCCTCCCTGAAACGGATTATCCCAGAGCCTTCGTTTCCTTCCCAAGGACCGCGGGCCCAGGGAACGAGATTACAGCATAGCGCGCATGTCATCATTTTCAGGTCAGTGTGAACGCCTGAGTAGGCGTCTTGTTTTCATTTAATCTGAAATAAATAGTCCCGGTATTAAATTCTCTATTAATAAATGTCTATGAGTAAAATCCGATATAGGAATAGTGTAGTTGTATAAGAAATTAAAATTTCATTGACAGGCCCATTCTCATAGAGTAAAGATTATGAACTATGTTATAATATGGTTTCCAATTTTATAAATCTAAATGACATGAACATTTCATGCATATTGATCATGAACTGTGCCATGAAGTGTTCATGAATCACTTCATGACAATACATGAGGAATTCATGAAACGCTACCATGAATTATTCATGAATTATTTGTGAATGATTCATGTAATGTTCATGATTACAAGATCATGAAGTATTCATGAACAGCAATTTTCATGAACTGTGCCATTTAATTTTCATGAGAAAATTCATGAAAAGTTCATGAATATAGCTCATGATTTGCTCTTCAAAAAATGCATGAACATTAGTTCATGAACTGTTCATGAACAAAAAAGTTCATGAACTTGTTATTCATGAACTGTTACTTTCATGAACTGTGCCATTTAACGTTCATGCACATTCATGAAGAGTTCATGTACTTTTGATGGAAGTTCATGAACAAAATTTGTGAATTTTTCATGAATAATTCATCAAATTTTCGCCGGGGCTGGCGGGTGTTTGGGTGTCCACAGACAGGGGCCCCCATGCCTGGGCCCCCCGGCAAAAATGACCATAAAATTTTTGCTAGTACATTGCGCAAATTGGCCCGAGCCTCAGTTATAGAGGGCCAAAAAACAGGTGGCCCCAAAAACCAGGAATTGGTGAAATTGTGAAATTTGGCCCCATGTTTTTAGTAGACATGGTGGGGAAAAATTTTTGTGACTTTTTTTTACTTGTCATAGTCCGGAAAACTGTTTTTAACCCCTTTTTCTGAAGGAATATGGAAAGTTTTCCTTTCTGAAGGAAAACTGTTTTTAACCCCTTTTTCTGGGGAAAAAATAGGGCCCCACTTAAAAATTTGACAGGGGGCCTCAGGAGGTTGCGTTATGCCGCCGGACCACTTGTTGAATTAGATTACTACAAACTGACACAAACCAGTCCTGCCTCGGCAATCTGACTATTCTGACATCTGTGTTGACAAAAACGCCGCTTGCTTAAGCTCCCTAATATACTAATAATTAAGGTGGCTGTGTAGTCTCTGTAGAGGAAAGAGGAGGGCCATTCCATTTAATGTACACACCTGCTATGGACGAGAATTTCTGAGGGGGTTTGAAAAAGTCATTTCTGAGGCGTTGGTGCATCGGTATCCTTTGATCTTTGCGTTTCTTCTGAGGGGTAAGGCAAAAATATCTTAATTTCTGGAAGGGTGTTTGTGTCGGCACTTTGATCTTTTTTTCTTAGGGGTTCACATTTTATTGACCTCGTCCATAGAGGGGGGGGGGGGGTGTACATTAAATGGAATGGCCCGGACCCAGCTACCCTGAAGTGAACAAGTAAACACACTTACCACCTAGGAAAGCAATACCAAAGATTGGAGACATAATTATTTCATCAGCAAGCACTTTTTTAAGTACCATTGAATGAATGTTACCGACTATCACTTTGTCCAAGGCAACGTACCAATAATGAACTACTGGACTTAATAAACCACCAACAATCACCATATCCAATGTCCGTCGAAAATTGTAAGGCTTCATTTTTAAATTGCATTTTTTATTGTGTTTAATATTGTACCGCTCTCTTTGCTGTTCAATAAAGTCACCAAGACCGAACAAACTAGCGAAGGTTACAGAGTTTGCAATGAAACTGTATCGTATAAAGAAATTTTTTAATATCATTCATACGACCACACTTGCAGCAATAGCAGCATAACTAAATTTCTCTAAAATAGTAAAATCGTGCACTGGTAAAAATATATTGTAGATTTGTAGTGGTAACATAAGGATAGTAGAGAATTGTAGTGATAACGTAGGGAGAGTAGAGGACATTGGTGCACGAAGTGAAGAGCCCTCTGGGAAGAGCCTGGGGGTTTTGAGCTATGGTTTTGAGTGGCACGAGGATTTCAGCGCGCCATAGTTACTTAATACTCGCTGGGGCTCTGTGCCCAGGCAAGTTTAGGTTGGATAATGGATCGATCATCGATAGCCACCTCTGGATAGCCACAAAATAGAATATTAATACCGCCAATTTTTACCCAAATTATCCATAAGGCTCCTGCCAATTTTTACCCAAATTATCCATAAATAACCCTAAGATTTGAGAAAAATTCAAGAATTTTACTAATATATATTTAAAAAATTTATAAAAAGTCAAAGCTGCTGGTTATTTTAACCAGTATGAATATGTTTACGTTCTTTTAAAACTGCTTTTTTATGTGGATTCAACGACAAGAATAATAGTGATTAAGCAAGTGACGTTTTTGACAACACGGACGTCGACCGGAAGTAAAATTGACGTTTTTCACCAATCACAACCCTTGACCCAGTCTTCTGACGTTACTCATGCCGTTCGTGTTGTCAAAAACGTCACTTGCTTAAGCTCACTAATGACGTTTGCCTCCAACCTCGTTCCACGAGGGACGAGGTTGGATGTTTGCGATGTTAATCTGAGTCACTGAGTGTGCATCACCGGGAAAGCTAGCTCAAAAGTTTGTCCAACCACGGTGGGAATCGAACCCGCGACCTTTGGGATACTAGCCGGCAATACTCTACCAACTGAGCTACGAGGTAAAGTCGGTTCGAGTTGGTGGTTGAGTCTAGTTCCTTCGATATCAATGTATTCCTTACTTTTCTAAGATATGATACTTTTTGTGTGTGTTGGTGTTATGTACTCAGGATGAATATGATGTATGCGATGTTACTCGCATAGTCAGTGGAATTGAAATCAACCCAGTGGACTAGTATCCCAAGGGTCACGATTGTGACATTGTGGTACCATCTAACATGCGTATCACTATACCCCCAGCGAGTTACGCTCTTTCGAGCGTCTTGTTAACTTTATTTTGCCGTGACTTTTTATTTTGCCTTGACTTAATTTCTTTTTGCCGTGAGTTAACTTTATTTTCCCATGAGTTTATTTTGTTTTGCCGTTGCAGTTAATTTTATTTTGCCGTAGCTCAGTTAGCTTTCGCTGTGACACTTGTGGGCCATATTATTTTATAGCGCCTGGGGATGAGGCAGCTCGACAATTACTCAAACTCTCCCAAGCTTGGTGAGATTAACGGATCACTTCATTTAGCCAATCAGATTACGAGCTTTTGTGGATCGTGATCTGATTGGTTAAAATGAAGGCGGACCAGAAAGTAGACAGGTACCTACAAAATGGGGAAATACCTGGTATCCTGCGTGAAATTTAATTAAACTTTAGAACTTAAAATAGTTTAATTTAGGTTTTTAATCGTGTTTTTAAAATTGATATGACATAAACAAGTAGTAAAGATACATTTTAGATTTTTATAAGTTAGATAAAAAGCACAAAACACACTGCTAACTTTTTTAGTCGCAATTCAATTCAATTGATCGGTAAATAATTAGAAGATCTGTTTATATCGAAGGGTATTAAAATTGCAAATAAAACTTTAAAAAGAAAAGTGCCTCATCAGTCCATACTTCCCGACTCTGCTAGCTCGTATCGGTCAAGTCCGTCTCGTTCTAGCCGCTAGAACGCCGTATGTTAACGTTTAAGCTAGATTTCGGCTAAACTCAACGCTATCGTCAGAGGCGAGTGGTGATAAGGTGGCTTACCAACCGGTATCGAACAAACGACGGGGGAGGGTGCCGGCGGCCCCCAGACCATTATGCCTGGCACCCTTTTCGCAAGATCCTATGATCGGTAACTACCACACACAAGTAAAAGTAACAGTTCCGTATATAAGTACGTTACAGTTGCCTGATGTGGTGCATGTGGGACGCTATAGCTCGGTGTTTACCGAACCTTTGAAATGAACGCATGCGCGATAACCTGAGACGTAGCGCATGCGTGGGCATCATCCAATCAGGACGCAGGAAAATTTCGCACTGATCCCGCGAGTTCGAGACATGTGCGAGACGGCACAGAAATTTGAAATTTGAGTACAAAACAAAGTTTTAATAGTGTAATAGTGAAAATATTTTAAGTGAATATATATTATTCACATGTATTTGCTTGTCGTCGTTGTCGAAGGTTGAAATATAAAGGCCAAGGCGATGAATCGACTGGAAAAGATGAAGGCGAAGTGAAATCTACACTCGAAGAGGTCGCACGGTCGTTGGTTTCTAGTACTGATACAAAAGGTACAAAGCTTTATATTTTTATATTTTATACTGTTTTGTTTCCTTTTTTGACGATAGTTGATGAGAAAATATTCTTGTCTAAAGCTTGCTTCGATCGTCAATAGATCTTAATAGAGGAAAGTGCTTATTAAATTAAATAGTTTGGCTAGCCTGTTCGCAGCCCGAATTTTATTTAATTTCGGGCTGCGAGCAGGCTAAGTTTGGCTAGCACTTTCGTATTTGTTGATAATCATTAACTTACCCTGTGGCCTGGATATAAAGTTTCTAAAATCTTGCACATAATGATAGTGTATATTCTTGCAATGCATACAGAATACACCCTTCTGGAAAGTATCTCACTTTGGCTATAAAGCTAGCTAACAAAAAGGATGACCAAGGTGATGTCAGTATGATTCAGGTAGGATATATGAAATGTTGGATAGTAATATACCGTAAACCTCTGAATATAACCCCCTGGTCCCTCCGGCCTCCTCGGTATAAGCCCCCTGTGTATATAAGCCCACTATATTCACTAACACTCGGGCCATTCCGAATATATGCCCCCCTAAATATACAAGCCTCTCTGTGTCCAAGCCTGTTGGTTAATTAGCACAGCGACAGCGATTCCAACAGCTCAGACGAGTGACAATAATTATTATTAAGTCTTTATTGGGGACCGGTCATAAGTATGTGTACTGGGGGGTGGAGGGTAAGTTGGGGGTGGGGGGCTGGGGTACAAAACAAATTATCTAACCTTAGGGGGGTATGAGACGAATTACGACATTTGGGGGGCTGGGGGTACGAAACAAAAAATGAGTTGAATAATATGTCTATGATTAATAAAACTACAGACTTCTATAATACAATATATTACTTTAAAACAATCCAGTGCATGTTCCTAAATGTTCCTAATAAATTGCAATGTAGTACAGTAGTATTATGAAAGTGTCTCGATGGGGACCTATTAGTTTGACATCTATGCAACCTGAACGGTCTTTGATTAGGGGTGGACCATTAGATATCCTGGGAGGGGGGTTGCAGTTCAAAAAAAAAATTCATGCAAAGAGTTGGCCAGAACTAGAAAACAAAATTCCTGCAAGAACTTGGGAAAGAAAAAAAGTTTGTGCAACTTCATGAGGAATCCAAGTGAAACTTAATTGAGAGCGGGCAGTTTAGTTGCTAACAGTATGGCTCATTTTGAGAATTTATAACTTTACAGTATGTGTGATACATTTAATAACGTCAATAACATTATAGATTGAAAACGAGTTTATATATATTGTAGAGCATATGAAACCCATAACTAGCACGTCATTTGACTCCGCAACATTTTTTGTGAAAAAATACAAAACAGGAAGACTTCAAGTTTAGAGAAAACAGATCCTGAATGAAATTTATTCAATTTCTGACGGGGATGGATTCACCATGTTCTGGTAGGGGGGAGGGGAGATGCTCTGCCAGCTCTGGTGCTGAGTTGTGTCAGTCATGTGCGCCTCCTGCCCATCAACTTGCTTGACTGCTGCAAAGTCTTGCTTGACTGCAGTATTTGAATTGTAATTGTTGTTCACAGTTAGTTTATCATCATGTTATTACTCAAATTACTGTATCTCATTTTGTCACACCCCTCGCACCCCCACCCCCCCCAGTAAATCCATTCCTGATTTCTGAGGAAGGGTAGAAGTACAAATTGGTGTCCCAAATATTAATTACCACAAACACGTTTTTAATATGCATGCACCTGATCGTGTTGGACCAAGAGTACTTGAATTCTTATGATTGGATACTTGTAGTACAATTGCGAGACACACTATGAAATTATAGTCCGATTGTGTCACTGCTTCTCATTTCTGATTTTTTGTTAAAATTGCTCCCAGAATGCAGGAAATAGCATTTCTAAGCCTTAGAAAATCAAACATTTTCTGGGGGAGCATTCCCCGACGACTGGACACAATAATTCCGCTGTTTTGCATTGCGCACTTTTACTGCGCACATCTTATAACTCATAATTTCATCCATTATACGCACTGTACAGTTTAAAAAAAATCATTTTATGACAATTTTATGTTACTTCAAAACATCTTTGGTTACATTTGTGCAAAGAATTACGTTAAAATCAATGTTTTCAAAAAAGGCATACAAAAGTATAGCTAGGGTTCCTGTGTCTGTAGTATATTTATTTACTTGTATTTCACGTTTTAATGCCAGAATTCCCTAAAAAGATCGGTGACCCCCATATTTTAACTCATAATTTATTTCTTTAATGCATTTTGCATTTAATATCCCGGCGAAATTAAAAGAAAAATCATCTCTGGATCTTGAAAAAAAATCCTTTATCAATGCATGTTCTCATTTGTGGATCAGAATTGTACACGTTAGTAGTTTCATTCAACCTCGTTCCCAGGGCTTTTCTCCTTTTCCCGCCTTCCCAATGACAAAAAGGGAAAAGCCCTGGGAACGAGGTTGAGTTTCATTTTGCTCAAAACACAATATTTTTTCAAAAATAATTTCAAGATAGGTTTACTAAAGTAAAATCCGCGCGCTAAAAACGTCAATAAATATCGGGCTGGACATTGTGATTTTGCTGTTACTCGTAATGAGCGTCAAGATGGCGCCATATTGGGGGTAAAGGTGGTATATTGTGATTGTCATATCTTCTTAATTAACGAGTTCGGTGACCCCGACTTTTTTGTGTGATTTTACTTTAAATTAAGTATATCATAAACTCCATGCCTGGGAAGTTTCAGCACATTCTCATTTCGGGAACAATTACTGCGGAATTACCAGTTAAACGAACTAATAAATACTGTAATAGGGGTTTACTAGAAGGTTTTTTTTAATATGAGATTGAATGAAAAAATAATACATTCACTGTTCTGGAATTTACTAATTTCCACCCAAGAAATAATAATTTAAAAATGAAAATTAAAGTCCAGCAAACGGCTTTCAGACAAGACATAACAAAAATATAAAATTTATTGGCTATAAACATTTCGTATTGTTCACAACATCTTTAGAGCAATAATTGCTCTGGCCAATAAATTTTATAGTTTTGTTATGTGTTGTCTGAAAGTCATTTGCTGGGCTTTAATTTTTCTACCTCAGCTGGTGCGGAGTCATAATTATTTTCACTGGAGCACTAACAGTCATGTCATCTGCAAATTTGACTAGTATGTTGTTATCTGGATCTTTGACTGTTAGATCATTTATCATTAAGGAAAATAAAAATGGTCCAAGGACTGTGCCTTGCGGTACTCCTTTGTTTATGTCTACGTAATTTGTTTCCATTCCGTTAACTATTACTCTTTGTCTCCTATCAGTCAAAAAATTTGCAATCCAATTTATTACATATGGATTAATGTTTTATCTACAGTAGCTTCTTGCAAATAATGTTGTGAAAAACGGAATCAAAGGCTTTCTTAAGATCAAATGAAATCACCCTGACATGGTCAACATTGCCATCTAGCCAATTTAGCTATTTATGGTGACACATAATGAGAGCATCAGTTGCACTGGTACCTTCTTTACTACGAATTGGTCACATCCAGTGCTTTAGTTCTGATCAGATCTCTTTTTTAAGCACGATTCTTTCGAACAATCTCATTATTACGTTCGTAAGAGATATAGGTCTTAATTGGGTACATTCCGTAAGGGGGATTTCCTTAGGTATTGGATTAAGATTGGCTGATTTCCATAAGAGGGGGACACATTGGTGTTCCGATGACATGTTGAATACCCTTGTTATCACCGGGGCTAAATACTTTGCAAAATCTTTCCATAGCCAATAGGGTAGGCCATCAGGACCTGTTGATGTTTTCTTTTGTTTTTCCAAAAACCTTTCTACAGTGGACACATCAACATTTGGTATTCTAGTCTCATTGGATATAGGAACGAGTTCGGGCGATTTATAATTATCATCAGTGTTTATTGTCTGGAAATAACTATTTATAACATTTGGATCAATATTTATACTCGTATGATTTGCCTTTCTACTGGCGATTTTATTAACTGTGTCCCACCATTTCTTCGATCCAGATACATATTTCCCATTCTCCTTCTTAACTTCACTAACCATATTTTTTATACCTTACTTATTTACTAACCTTATTTATCTTTCTTTGTAGATCTTCGTTAACTCCTTTCCTCGCACTTTTATTGCGTATTGTACATTAGTGTTTTACCAAAGGAGACATGTATGGGGGATCTCGTGCGGATAATCTTACCTTAATCAATGGAAAACTGTTGTTGAATGCAGAAGTGATAATATGATTTAATAGTATAACTGATTAGTCATTCACGTCTTCACAGTCATCACTAAGCTCCAATTCTGTGTTTCCAACTCTCTCATCATAGCAAACTTCCGATGGTCTCTTGCGTCTCTAAAATAAAGTGAGTTTTTTTCTGGTTTAACAGCTATACCCGTGGAGTTATCACGACGGCCAAATGGTCAGATTTTACTACTCCATCAAAGACTTTAGGATGATTCCATAAGTGTGGACAGGTATAGTTTGGAAAATGTCAAGTACTTTATGACCTTTTTGTAGGTTTTCTCACCATTTTTGTTGACTTATAATATCCTTAACATCTAGTTGGTTGACATCTCCTCCAGTGGACCTATTACCTAATGAACAAAATTTTGATCTAGACAAGTCTAGACAAAAATTTCATCACAGCTTGAAAGAGCATCACAAAATTAGTAATATTCGGAAGTTTCGTTACGAAATGTTGTAAAATGCGGAAAATATAGCCCTGCGAAGTTTGCCGTTTTCAGTCATTTTGTATTACGCGCGGGAAATTGATACCTTTTTTCAGAATTTTTACCCAAATTATCCATAAGGCTCCTGCCAATTTTTACCCAAATTATCCATAAATAACCCTAGGTTTTGAGAATAATTCAAGAATTTTACTAAAAAAGCCAAATCTGCTGTTTATGATTTTAACCAGTATGAATACTGTATGTTTACGTTCATTAAAAACTGCTTTTTTACAGCATTGAGGATTCAACGACAAAAATAATATTTGCGATGTTACTCTGAATGCGCATCCATTTGTAATACCATCTAACATGCCACAGCGAGTTAACGCTCTTTCGAGCGTCTTATTTGACTAAAAATTCGTAACGCTAAGTCAAATCTGAAACTCGCTCTCTGATAAAACGGGAATGAATAGGCTAGGCTACCAACGGGAATGGGTAGGCTTCCAATCACTCCCATAGCACAGAGTACTTACAAACAGATTTCTCACTTCAGGTCAATTTAGCGTAAGGGATTTTTTCGGTCCGCCATGTCCATCATCATCATCAAGCCCACTACCCTAGTCTAGAGCATAGGCCGTCGACAAGCGTTTTCCATGTGTCTCTGTCCTGTGCCACTCTCACAAGTTGTCCCCAGGTGTAACCCATCTTCTTGGTGTCAGCTTCTAGGTCTCGGTTGCCAGGTGTTTCGTGGTCGGCCTCTTTTCCTTTTCCCTTGAGGATTCCATGTGAGGGCTTGTCTTGTGGTGTTGGATGCTGGTTTGCGCAGTGTATGCCCCAGCCATCTCCATCTTCTTTTCTGTATCTCTTCGTCTGCTGGGGTCTGGTTGGTCCTCTGCCATAGGTCTTTGTTGCTGATCGTGTCAATCTGCCATGTTACAGAATAAATAATATCTATTCTGTGGCCATGTTCTTAGCAAGTGCCCCAAAGAAATGCCGTTACCCCCCTGAAAGCATATTGAAATTGGATATACCAGGAGCCAGTTGTTCAAAGCCAGGTTAACTTAACCCCAGGTTGACCTAAAATTCAAAGCAAACTTCCTGACAGCATGTCTATAAATTTGGAAATATTTTTTCAGAGATCTTGTCTGGATCGATGGGAGTTTACTTCTCTGATGTTTTGAAATAAACAGGCGTGCAGAAATATACAAACTAAAACAGTAGGTTATATTTTAACCCAGGGTTAGCGCTAACCAACCCTTGAACAACCGGCTCCGTGCGGGTGAATGCCTCTCTTTAGGGCACTTGCTAAGAATATGGCCGAATTTGGTAAAGACTACCTTACGGTTTTCCCGGCAAAGTGAGACCTCTGTATGTACGTACTCCGTGCCTATAGTCTGCGTATATCACTCCCATGATTTACTCCTCGCGCTCAATTCATAAAGCGAGAGAACCATCGGAGATTTCACAGATGAGAAGCCACGACGCGACAGATGGGTATTGTTTCAATGGAAAAATGGATAAGGACCAACAATTTTGCTGCTGAGAACGGATTGGGATTTGGTATCGAGGATTGAGAAACAAGCCAACAGGGATTGAGACTCATGGTGCAGACAAAATTTAATTTTTTGCCAAGAAGATGAGATTGACTGAGCCTCCTCCTTTCAAAACTTTACGAATACTTTTGCACGCTTGGGAGAAACGTACTTTGAAGCATTTTGCATCGGTAGCAAATTTATGACAAAAACTAATTATACATCAACTTTTCCCATGGGCAAATCCTTTCAATAATTCGTTCTCGTGAATAATAGGCGGATTTTCTTCTTCAGAACGAGATCCCGCGAAAAGAAAATCAAATAAGCTCATTGTCATAATACAAGGCTTAAGCATGATCATGTCCAAGTAAATTAATTCCCAGATTTCCATGCACTTTTCGCTTTTACCATATAGAGACATTGTTTTACAACAACGAGTTAATTTGGTTCCAGCGTAATAATGATACAACAAAAAGTCAGTAACAAATAATAAGTTTTTAATTAAATAATAAATCAATCACATAAAATTACAAGCATCTAAACACCACTTGTATCCTGCATGCAGACATGCAACACCAAACTCTTCATATATTATTAAATACGTTTCAAATACTGCTATAGTCTGTATATACTGAGAGTGCATATACAGTCTTATTAGTATCAGAAACACGAGGAAAGCGTAGTGCACCTAGGTCCTAGTATATAATTTATAATCATATAGACGTGCATACAACCATAAAAAAATGAATGCAAATGGAATAAAACTTCAAAATAATTTAGGCCTTAGAATTTCGAGTCTTTGCGATATCAGTTTCGTACAATCTGCATTTCCGACATCGTAAGATGAACAAAACTGGAAGATCACAGTTAAATAGTAGGAGGATTTCCGTTTTTTTACGGCTCAGCTAACTCAATTAACTTATATATTTATTTTAAGTCCAGGTAACGGCCTGATTAAAGGTGTCTTATATTTAGTTCTTTGCTGGCATTCTTAAAGGAAGAGGAGATATTGCTAAATTTGCAAAATTAAATTTCACGTTTTCAGAGGAGGATACGTCAACGAGATTGCAGCTTTAAAAAAGCATAAAATCAAATCGTTAAAGGAAAACTGGAGCTTGAAGTTCTAGCATTCATTTTATACAGATGGAAGCACATCTTAACTGATAAATACGCCCATCAAAAACTATTGACTGTTCCACAATTTTTGAATCGGGAGCGAAGTTGCATACCCAAGTTTTACGTATCGACGTTACTAGTTGTATTATTATGGCGTTTATCCAGTCATCACACGAAGCTCCTAGCAGCTCGTTGCGAGTGCATGCATGCATGAGCACTTTCATCCAATCACAATGCAAAACATTAAATTTTAATTAGATGCAAGCACTCGCAGCGAGCTGCGAAGAGCTTCGTGCGAGGACTGGAAAACCTCCTTTAGGCAAAACGTCATAGCACAAACTTCTCTAACTAAAATAATAAATTACTCTAATTTAGTCAGTGCATACATCACAAAATGCAACATATATTCTACTCAATGCGATTTGTTCGACAGCCGTAGGTGCTAATTCAATTAATTGTTTCTTTCACACTGAAATCGTTTTATACTACATGCAAGGTGTATAACAAAAACCTAGCAGTTCGAAAATGCCTGCTATAAAAGTGCAAATTCCTGTTCCGCACAATTTTTGAATACTTTATGCAAGTATAGATAGTTTGGGGTCTGCTAGTGGCCCAATAAAACAATTTTCAAAAGTAAATGCTCGAGTACAGGAAGGTTGTTTTTGAAAACCTTGGCTTGTGCACATTTAACTTCTTGGGGTGCAAATTTGGAAGGTGGTTTATGAACTATCGAAATACTTGCCCAGGCAGTTTGATGTAGTCCAATGCGCATACAACCCCTGAAACGTAGACTTTTGTCGTATTATCTGTCTACGCACAATTATTTTTAACGCAGGACGTATTGATTTCATGCAATCGTGCATGATTGATTTTATGCATGATTGATTTCTTTAGAAAACGCCTTTAAATTTATGCGTGAAAGGCTACTACAACAACTACAAGTTTTGACGGTCGCGCGTAGCACTTTATATACATCAAATTGTCTGGTATACCTTTAATGCACCAATTCGTTAAGCAAATATTCTAAGACAATTAAGAAAACAACTATCACACACAATGTTGTGGGAGAAGGGTTGTCGAGGAGAAATGCTCCGATTATACTTTAAACTGTGGCCAAAGTGTCGCCCCACAGACTCACTATTACAGCAATATGATTATGATATAATTATATGTCCTCAGGGGGTCGTAGTTCCCCCATGTTGGACTTTACCCAAGGGGTAGTAGATCCCCGAGATGGGCATCCTAAATGTCCAAGGGGTAGTAGATCCCCGAGATGGGCATCCTAAATGTCCAAGGAGTTGCAGATCCCCGTGATGGTCATTGCTTACTTTAATGTCCAAGGGGTAGTAGATCCCCGTGATGGTCATTGTTTACTATACAATACACTGTATAATACATTGATTTGTGTGAGTCTATGGGGTTGAGGGTGACCTTTGGGAGCACTCCATCCCCACAAATACACAGCATGTGTATTCCCCATAGACGAAAAAACCCAACACCCACCACAACTGTAATCGTATAGAAGACAGCTTCTGACAGATGATCTTTGTGCTTTTCGAAGACATATCGTCTATATTTCTCTTTCGACACACTTTAAATAATTAATTGATTAAAATCATGTTATATGCAATTTTTTCTTTAAAACTACAAATTTGATTGTAAGACATATATATATATATATATTTGAGTATTACCATCACTCATACTACAGCTGGAACATCAGGGAGGCCAGGAAAAACCTGCAATATCTTTACAGGAAACCTGGATGGGGCCAAGATAACCAGCAGCTTCCCCACAAAGCTTCTATCTTACAAGTGCGTGATTGGAGGGTTGGTAACAAGACAAACAAAGCTCACCATAATTTTTTTTTTTTTTACGATTTATTTATTTTTAATGTCAATGTGCTCGTTGACAATTTTGCAACATGTATTTGTTAACTCCACTTATTTTATTTATTTGAATTATGATTGGTGGAACTTGACATAATATAATTCTCGAATTATGTATGTGACTCTTTAATCTCAGAAAAATAGCTTGTTCAATATTTTAAAATAGCAGGATCAAAAATTCAAAATGCAATTCAGGTGTTTATATTAAACCACAGTGTTGTGATTGAACATGCAATCATGCATGCATGAAAATAGCAGAAATTGTAAGAATATGTATTTGGTAGACTAAAGATCATGCAGTATAGTGATAAGACACTAAAATGAATTTTCGAAGTACTTTGCCGCAGAGGTCATACAATTTTGCTTGCAAGTGACACAATGAGGCTTACTGATCCAAGCAGGAAACTATTCAGACGAAGAGGTGAAACCTGATTGGTCTATTTTCCCGCACATGCATGGGAAGAGATTTGACAATGGTTTGTTGTTAATTCAGCCTTGTGCTTTGCACGTGTATGATCACATGATTCACAGATTGACCTTTGTACCAGACATTTGTACTCCAGGAGACTTTGCACAACTTTACTCTTGTCCTAACGCTTGTTTCATTAACTTAAGTTTATAATGCTATGGGCATGTATAAACTTGCTTGATAGTTTATCAAATATACCTTCTAAATTGCCCTCAATGAATTCAAATTGAGTTGTAAGCTTTCCACTTTTTGTGCGAAAGTCATTTTTAATTAAAGTGGTTTTCAAAAACATCTTCCTCCACTCCAAAATTAACTTTTCAAAATAAAATTATTGTAAAGAAACTAGCAAGCCCCAAACTACACATGCATGCATGCGTAAAGTTTTCACAATTTTATTTTGCGTAATTGGCACAGTCAGGCAGATAGAAGGAGAGAAAAACTGATCACATCGAAGGGAAATTCCATTTCTCCTTCATCTTGAGCCCTGAAGGCGAGTGAGTACATTTCTGTATGTCGACGACGTTAAAATTCTTGTACTCTCTTACTGACATGTTTTTCTTTGAATTTTGTATTAAACTATATTACAGTTAAAAAACATTTCTAATACAAATGACTTGAATAAACAGAAAGCTTATACAAAAAACTACATCTAAGACATTTAAATGGTATAGCTGGGATTTTCAAGTAGTTTTCGAGTTATTGCTATAAAGCCAAAATCTTGCAAAAATCCTGGGTACTAGAATATAAGTCTAAAACACGCTTTCTCTGAAAACAGCTCATAACTCAAGAAGAACTTGAAAACCCTCCATGGTAACTGTTTAAATGTCGTTTTTGTAGTTTTTGCAAGCTTTCCAACGATGTAAGTAAGTTTTGTTAGAAATGTATTTGAAATTTCACATTGTTTAACTTTAATACAGTAATACAAATTCTAAGAAAACCGTATCGGCAGGAGCGCACAAGACATTTTAACGCCGCCGACATACAGAAACGCACTTACTTGCCTTCAGGGCACAATATGAAGGCCAAATGGAATTGCCGCCCCCCCATATTGTAAGTTTTCCACAAATTGTGTTCCTCTATCCGCCTGACTCAGTGGCAGTTTAGCGGATATTTTCTAACTGTGCAGTTTTTTTATACACCTGCAGTATAGTATATCCTGTAGGGCGTTCTGGAATGACGACTACAGTCTACACCCACCAGCAATGTGTAGTACGTTGCATTTTTTTTTTTTGTACACCGAATAAGAACATTATTTGGGTAAATTCCTTATCTTATGGTAATGTATTTTATACGTTTTCATGCTTCATGGTCAGAGGTGGAGCCTCGACTATGACAATATTTATAAACCAATTATCAAAGTTAAAGACAGACTGTGCAGTAAAGACGGCAATTGTTAATACCATTTTTATCGAAGCTGGTCGTTTTCCTTTTTTCCGTTGCGCTTTTCATATGTTTTCTGTCAGCATTCACCTATTACGTCGGTTCATAATGAAACTGCGACGATCCTTCTCACTTTTCTCTGTATAGCACGATCAGTGGTCCCAACTTCCTTGTTTTTAGGCGAGATTGATCAACCGGCAGTTAAGTCTCTTTATTTTTATGTTCGCCTTTTCTCTGTCACTCCACGTGCAAATTCAATTAAGATCAATTTTCTGTTGCGTTTCTGCTGAGATCTGGAAACGAACTACAAAGATCAGTTAATCATCACAGTAAGGCAGAGTCACAGCAAATACTAACAGCTATAAAGTGATTTTGGAAAATAGCCCTTCTGGGCTCGATAATTTACTTTTCAGTCTTTCAGAATAATTTGGCGATACCAGAAGAACCCAAACTACCCATATTGCAAACATAAAGTTGACACAAATTTTGCAGTATTTTCATTTTAGTGGACATTTTATAATTGCGCACTTTTTTGTACATCCTAGGCCCATCCTATACAAACATATAGTCAAATGCATGCAAAACCTGGCGCACACAAAGCGATTTTAATCGGCCGATTTAAATCGCATAGTGTGCGCCAGATTTAAAACACCGTCAGCATCAGTCTGATTATACCGCTTTCATTCATGGCAGCTCATCAATACCATTTATGCATGGGTAGAATATCATGATTCCTGAGCTATAAAATTCTGATTTATGGGCTATGATAATTAATCATGTATAATTATTGATGACATTTAGTGATTGAATGATTATACTGATAT